CTCACTGGAATTCTGAAAACAAGGAGATCTGGTCTATAGCCGAGTTCACATGGAAACAGTAAACCATTTCAGATTCTGCTGGGGTCAGGGAGCTCCTGAGAAGATGGGAAAAGTTGACAAATTCACTAGATGCCTTCAAGTCAATTCTGAGCTGTGCTGACCCTCATAGGCTTTTCTTGGCACAATTTATTTAGCTATTGGTCACTGCCTTCTTTTATGGCTTCAATTGTGTGATTTGCCCAAGTGCATTTCCAGGGATTTAAACCCTGGTCTCGGAAAGTTCTAATCCAAAATTTAAACCATTACTACACCATGCTAGTGCTTAGAAAAAGATCTTTCCGGAAAGTTTCCAGAAATAGTTTTTATTTGCAGTGGAAATTGTGTCACAGAGCAACAAAAATTCCCGACCAACCCCATGCCTTGTTATGCAAAGTGTCCAAATTTTAACATTCAGTGGTGAGATCATAGAGGCAAGGCATTCTATTCCAAATGAAGATGAGAAGCTATCTGTAGGGAGTACCTTTTCTCCAACTCCTACATTTGAAATAGTTTAATTGTGAAAAGCACTTGAATAAGAGGGGAATTAGGCAAGAGACTGAAGGGATGATGAAAACATTACATGTCAAAACTCAAAAACATACAAAGATAAACCAGTGGTGATTAAACCATGAAGGATCCATATAGAACAAGCTGGAAAATGCTCTAGAGGCCATCCAGTCTAATCCCGTCATGCAGAAATACATCATTAAAACATTCCTGAAAGATGACCATCCAACCTCTGTTTAAAGACCTCTAGAAAGGAGACTCCATCATTCTCCGTGGCAATCAATTCCAGTGTCAAACAGCTTTTACAGTAAAGAAGCATTCAGTAATGTTGTCTTGTAATTTGAATCCACTGCTTCATGTTCTAGTGTCTGGGGCCAGCAGAAAACAAGATAGCTGGATATCCTACATGTTACCCCTTCAGATATTTAGATAGCTCAAGTAGGTCAACCTCAGAGGAAGGAAAAAGCAAACAGCATCTGAACAAATCTGTCAAGAAACCCCAAGATAGATTTGCCCCAGGACTGCTGTATGATGGAATTGACATGAGGGTATCTACTGGTCATTAGGCATAATTTGTTCTTTCTAGGTAAACCAATGCACAACAATATTCCAAGTAGAGCTAACACCATTTTCAACACAGAGTGCAGCCTTAGAAAAGCAGACTAATTGGGAAGGGCATTAAATATTAACAAATGTGTAATGTTTAGAATTTGTATTTACTAGGCAAAAACCTGACACCATGGCAGCCCTTTGTAATTCTTCACTTTTAATAATTGTTTCTCGCAAGAGCCGATTCTGTTTACATAAAAGTGTAATAGCAATGCTTAAAACAAGTTGTGAGCAGGGGGTATGATAATAGTTATTTCCCTGTGTAAGTTTCCAGCAGATCAGCATTGCTCAACCTGGGGGTCGGGACCCCTGGCGAGGTCATGAGGGGATTTCAGAGGAGTCACCAAAGACCATCAGAAAACACATATTTCTGGTGGTCCTACGAACCCCTTTGGCAGAGAAGGTTGAAGATCTCTTCACCTACCTTCTCTTCCTTTTTGGAAACAGAGAGCAGCGAACCCGCCCCCCCCCCACCACCAAAAGCCCTCCTCCTGCTGGAATTGGCTGGCCTCTCAGCTGGCCTCCCAGCCAAGGGGAGGGCTGTTTCTGAAACTCCAAGAGGAGAAGGGTGAGCAGGCATGTTTGGTGCATGGCAGTGTGGTGCACATGTGCAGATGAGGGAGAGCATGCAAGGCTGGAAGGAGGCTTGTGTCCCTTCAAGGCAGGGGGAAAAGCTCCAGTTGACTGTAGGTTAACTATAAATCCCAGCAACTACAACTCCCAAATGACAAAATCAATCCCCCCCAACCCCACCAGTATTCAAATTTGAGTATATTGGGTATTGTTCCAAATTTGGTCCAGTGAATGAAAATCTATCCTGCATATCAGATATGTACATTACAATTCATAACAGTATCAAAATTACAGTTGTGAGGTTGCAATGAAAATAATGTTATGGTTGGGGGTCACCCCAACATGAGGAACTGTATTAAGGGGCCCTGGCATTAAGAAGGTTGAGAACCACTGCTGTAGATGTTCAAACACAATACCAAGTTCATTGCCCATGGAAAAACTTTAAAGCAAAATATGAAATAAATGAGCAAAAAGGTGTTGAAAATGTCGACTGTGGAAAAATGAACCTTCTAGAGAGACTCAGTTCAGATTCACAGAAAAAAATGCATACTAGCCTTTAGAACAAGGGAGGTTTAGGAACTGAAGCCAAAGGAACAGGATGAACTATCTCCATTTCTTGTTACATTTCTTTCTGTCTTCTTCAGCATTACAATCTTTTCCTTTCTGAAACTGGTCCTTCTTTGCCTCAGAAATAGACTAAAGGATGCTGCACTACAAAAACAAATGAAGATGCTAAAGGTAAATGTTTCTTTCTCCTCTCCAAGATCAGACCATTCTCTAGAATCTTGCCCATCTTGGCAACACATTTGAAAAACATAACTTGAGAGAGGGTGATGAAAGCCTCCTCTCACAAAAAATCTCCAGTAAATGAAAGCATTCCATCCATCATAATGTACAAAACCAAGCTAGAGGTAACTGTTATCGCTCTTATCGTGCATATGTTCTGTAGCAAACACAAACAAACACAAATAACAAAGGATAATCAAAGATTTCTGAATATCTGATTTCAAGTTCAGAAGACGAGGTGGTACAGTTTTTTTCAAGATGTTAGCACCATAGTTTCTATGTGGGGAGCTCACCTGTTTCAAAATAGCACCATGCAAAGTAAGTGTCATATAAAGCACAATATTGCAATAAGAAAATACATCATCTTCAGATAACAAATTCAGCATTTGAGATCAGTGGTAATATAAATGCACAAAAGAATTATGTGCCTCTTTCATGACTGAACCCTTTGGACAGGTCCTAGTTCAAGAGTATGGAAATATTTGGTTTAAGAAATGTGCAGTCTTTAATTTAAAAACCCTGTATAGTTAATATTGCTATTAAAGGAAGACTCGATTAAAAACAGCACTTTTATAAATCCTTCAAAGGACATTATTTTTACGATTAAATGCAGAAAAAGAAATGCTAGAAGGACTTGAATGCCAATGGTTAAGTCTAAGTGTAATTACTGAATTCACTGTTGACAAAGCCAAACTGGCACCCACTGGAAGGAATTATCTGAGCTATTTATTTTGCATTTAAAGTGTGATAAATTGCCAATTTCTAAAAAAAAATATCCAAGCCTCTGTGTCAAGAACTTAATCAGCATATTTTAAGCAATAAAGGCAAACAATTTTTGTTCTAATGAAATAGAAAACAACATAAAGAATATGGATCTGTTATACAGAACTTAATACATGTTTGTCATCCCAAACAAAGATAGGATTTAATACATGAAAAACAAAACCCTTTAAAGAGTTGAGTATAATTTATAAGAAACACAAATGAAATGAAGTTCAATGGGGTTTGAACAGAAAAATATCTCAATAGAATGCAGCCCAAAATTTCCATGAACACTGTCCACTAGGATTCATATTTGGACTCATCTTGGAAAAGCTTAAAATGGCAAGCCAAAAATGAACACCAGGTACAGGTATTTCTCTCTCAGAAATGCACACAATAAAAATGAATGCCTCTGCTGAAAACAGCTGGAAACAGAGGAAGACATTTCTTTGAACCACAGTGAGAGATTATCTGAGATCAGCAGGCTCTGCTAAGGTCTCGAGGAGACCCAAAGCATACTAAATATTCACAGATGAAATCATCCAGTTACATCAGATGAGCTGAACTCATTTTAAATGAAGTGTTTATGCTTGTAGAGCTTCAACCAGTCATTAAGTGGTGGAGGTGGAGAAGAGTCGGGCCTGTGGACAAGGATCCTCTGCCAAGGGATTTTCAAGCGTCTGCCGCCAGTTCCTATTAGACAGGATCCCAGAATAAAGGAACGACTTCCTGATTTGGCTTCAAATGTCTTTGTTCCTGACAGTTGGCAAGTAAACATATTTACAGCTATGGCACATATGCAAAACTGAAAGTACATTTGGATTTATTCCTACTGAGCACCATGAAATGTAAAGCTGCATGCCACAGCCCTTTAACTACCAGAGGAAGCTCTCTTTGACATAAATACAAGTCTGTTAAAGTAAATTACTGTAAATTACATGTTAAGCACACATACTCTGTCCCAGAATAATATACCTGCAGTGAGAATAGAAGCACCATCTTGCTGGGTTCGTCCCAAAGAACCATCCAGTGCTGTATCTCATTTGTCATAGTGCTGTGCAGATGGTGCTTTAATACAGACCTTGATGAAATTATAAGGGTTGCTGTAGTCCTGGCACCAGCATGTCACTGGAATTCAATGGAATAAACACACAACCGTGTGTATATTTAAAGTTCTGTCTATTCATGTCATTTTTTTTAAAAAAATTAGAATATCAGTAATCGGTTTTATCCAACCTGTTTAAACTATTCAAACCTTACATTCAAATATAAAAATGAAAAAAAAAACCTCTATAAATTTTATCAAGCCATTACCAAAGGATAAATTCAATACTCCATCTTCATATGATACCTTTTTTTATTACAAATCCAAAAAAAAAAAAAAAAAAAAACCCTCCCCAAAACCCTGTGTATGTAAGTTTCTGGGTTCATCAAGGTCCTTTTTTTCTTTCTCCAAATTTCAGGAATGTGCCATCAAGCCTATATTGAAAACCGTAAGAAGGTTAGAAGAAAAGAAAAAAAAAAGCATTTTCTTCATATAACATTCTGTGTCTCACTATTAATCACACCAACTTTTGTAAACCCTGGTTTTTTTTCTGTAATGCAAATATATATAGATATATATTATATGTATGCGTGTATGTGTTGGAAGCCCAACCCACCCATAATTAGTCATGTTTATTAAACTTCTGTATTAGTGTCAATCAGCTACAGATACATATTACTTTAAGAATTAAATACATAATTGTTTAATTCAAACAAGCAGAAGGGCAAGAAGAGAAAGCATTATGTGGATGGCACATTTGGTTGTAGATTACCAAAACATTCAACCATTACAATTCAATGATTCTCTAAGTAATCAACTTTCAATGAAACATCTCTGTTGCAATTACATGTCAAAGTACGCTAGATACTTTTACTACAATCTTACCGTAGTAGTTTAAGAAGTTCTATTACAAAATGCTTTAGTTAGTGTACTCTTCACAAAGAGTCAAGGAGGCAATGTAATAGTTGAATAGAGAGTGTAAAGAGTGCTTCTAGATACTAGGAATTTCTGGAGTATACTACTTGGTAAGCAAAATAGCTACAGAACTCACAGCCAAAACTGTTATGTCTACTATATTTCACTTAGTTAGCTGCAGGTTCAGTGCATTCCAACTGTGCCCAGTCTCTCAATGAGTTCTGCTAGCGTTCTGCCAGCGTGAGCTACCGGAACAATTTAACACTGTTTTGAACTGAAATACCCCTCATTTATGTGAACTAACTATGTAAACGTACACAGAAGAGAGGAGCTTAGAACCCGGGGAAGAAAAAGAGGACTTGCAATGGCCACTTAAGTGAGATTTTCAACCTGAGGGGGCATGTGAAACAACTGAACTTTTAAAAGACAAAGTAGGCAAACAAAAAGCAAGAGGCTGGGAGAGGGCAAAGAGAGAAATAATATAATCAACAGAGCAAATGTTTTAGAAAGAGGCCATTCTTGACAACTGTCTCAGACTGTTATAGACTGCTCTGTTCTATAAAAGTGTATTTCAGACCTAAGGCTTGTAAGTTATAAGAGGCCCTGGCAGGCCCAGTCCATCTTCAATGTCACTGAAGTGCTTTGATGAGATATAACTTTTCCCCATGTTCACTGGTGAAGATGGGAGCCTTTTTGTAGTGTTCCACCAATTCATCCATAGTATTAAAGCGACGCTGTCCAATGCAATAGACATTGTCCACCAGCTGCACTTTGAAATGTTTGTTCTTCCCTGATGCCTTTAGAGATACCGAAAAGTCACTGGGCTGGTGAGAGAAAGAAAAAGAATGGTATTAAACATGGTATACAAATATGTGTTTTAAGGATATGACTATGAGGTGCAGGAGCTGTGTTCTTAACCTTTAATTGTAAAAACCATAAACTTTGCTGTTGTGAGCCTTCCAGTCATTTCCGGCTTATGGTGACTTTTTTGTTGTTTATTCGATCAGTCACTTCCGACTCTTCGTGACTTCATGGACCAGCCCACGCCAGAGCTCCCTGCCAGAAGCCATTGTCAGCCCCAGCTCCTTCAAGGTCAAGCCAATCACTTCAAGGATACCACCCATCCATCTTGCCCTTGGTCTGCCCCTCTTCCTTTTTCCTTCCATTTTTGCCAGCATCATTATCTTCTCCAAGCTTTGCTGTCTGGTGACACTAAAGTTATCCAATCACAGGGTTTTCTTGGCAAAATTTGTTCAGAGGAGGTTCACCTGTGTCTTCCCCTCTGAGGCTGAAAAGTGTGCTTTGACCAACGTCATCCAGTAGGTTTCCATGGCTGAGTGGGGATTCAAAACCTGGTCTCTCAATTCAACATTCAAAACACTATGCCACACTAATGCTCTGCTTTTCCACCTAACTGCATATAATGTTTATGCTGGTAGTGATTTATATTTTACAAAGAGCCAACGAGGTATAGTGGCTTGAACATCAGACTAGCCCTTGAGAGATCAGGGTTCACATCTTGGCTGAATTACAACACCGCACTGTTTAAACCAAAGATAAACAAATACTGAAAGACATTTATAAGTATTTAAATAATAGTGGATGGGCATATGAAGAAACAATATCACGATGTTCAATGCTATGGCCACCAGGGGGCCTTTCTTGCTTTGTGCTTAAAAAAAAACACCTTTCACCTATATTGAGATGTCAAGGTTCACTCAATTTAGCATTTAACAACCTGGTAACAGAAAACATTTTCAGTATCTCACAAACACAGATTGTTTAAGTCTCTTTCTCTTATTTTACTATGGACCAGAGATGCTAACATTCCTTCTAATGTCTCAAGTATTTGCCTTATTTTTGCTATGTATAAAGGTGGCCAAATTTACTATGTTTTGTAAAGTGAAAACACACTTAAGCAATGTGTGTTGTGCAGACACAATTTCTTCCTCTGTTTTCTTTTAGTCTAGAATTACAATGTTTAGCCATCAACATATACTTTTCTCTCTTTAAGAAGAGGTACGTTCTATGTATTATTTTGTACAACATTTTGTATACCCAAGTTAGGTGAATGCATACTCTAGGTCTGCACAAAAGAACAGAACTAGAAAGTTTAGTTAAATATTACCAAAAGAAAATAGTTCCGTTTCCATTGATATATGGGGTTTAGACTGTTAATAGTTCTTCTTGGTTAAAGAACTAGGTGTGACTAGCAAGCATAAAAGATCGTATCTATTCCTGAGAAAGCCTACTTGAATAGGATATTATTAGGCATATCTCATTACTAAGTTCCATGGTAATAATTCCTGAACAATACTGCATAGTTAATGTATACTTTCTCTAGAATTATCACAACCATCTCCACTTTCACTCTGAGGCAGAGCTATATTCTACTCAGAGCTAAAAAAAAGGGGGGGGAGGGGGGAGGGGAGCACAGAATTTACAAGAAATTATTTTGGATAGCACTCATTTCAAGGGTGAGACCTCCTACTGATCCATACAAGTATTTTGATAATTCCAGGGATTTAACCTTCCAGTTATAGCTCTCCGTCCCAGACACATTGTCTTCCATGTCCAACCCACTTTCTCAAATTGCCAGTCAGCTTACACATTTTTGGCTTGATCCTCACATTGTGTAGAAACACGGATGCCAAATATTTACGTGCTGTTTTTGTAATGTAAGCTTTCCCCTCACTGTCAAACTATACGAAGTCCAACGAGCAAGGGGAATGGTTTGGTATATAATCAAGAAGAGATGGGTTTTAAACATTAGGCGAAATGCAATAGGCAATTTTAACAAGGATTTTCACTGGCATTTTCTGGCCACAAATTCTAGTCTCAGAAAAATCTCTAAAATTTCAAGAGAGATGAAGGAAGGTATCCCTTAATTAAATCAACAACAGCTCTCTGGCTACTGGAGCTTGATTGAGGCCTGACCCTACATTAGATAGCACAAAACATGTATGTGGTACTAATTTCTAACTAAACAAAACTGTTGCTTGGATGGAAAGAATTCTACTGATAAGTATTAATGGCGAAGAACAGCTAATGTGACCTATCTGGATAGAAATGGTACCAAATGTGCCTGTTACTGTAGTGCTGCCTACTACTTAGATTTCCAATAATAGGAAATCTAAGTAGTAGGCAGGAAAGAGATATGTAGAATACTAGAGATCAGAAAAATCTGTGTTGGGATCTACATTATAAATACATTCCAATTTCACAGAGTATAATTATGATAGCCTTATAAACAAAGCGAAGTGGAAAACAAAACACAATATTATGGCTGACTTTTTTTGTCTTTAACAGATTCCAGTGACTGGATGGGTGTAGGAATCAAACTTTGCAAGAGATATACAATTGCTTCATTTGGAAGGCAGACATAGAACATGGAGCAGTTTTTTTCTGCCATCTGCAAGTAGTTTTTGCTGAAGGGGTGACATAAAAACAATGAAGTGTAAGATTTATTACTTATTGTTATATATAAAACACATTACTTTTCCTTTCATGGTATTATCCTTTTAGGACCATATACTTTTAAAATATTAAGCCAAGGCCTTCTGTAGTTATTTTAAGAGAATTGTCAAAAAGGAGAACATGAAGATCTCAAACAGCTGCTCTGAGGCTACTGCCCTCCTCCCTATCATGGGCTCATATTTTAAATAACACAGGGAACAGGAAGAAAATGTAAAAGTATTAGGGGTTATTTGTTCCTGGTTTCTTCCACCTTCAAATATTCCATTCAATTAAAGCTTTTAAACATCCCTTTGAAAACCTGAACATTGTCATTCTATATACTGCATGGAGGTTAAAGGCAGTCTAAAGCAATTCCCTGCTGTCTTCCTTGAACTTGTTCCAAGGCTGTTTATTTTTATATTTTGTTCCTCTTTGCCTTTTTTGTTTCAGTTCTTGGCAGATACTTTTTGCTCCTTTCCCCAGTGAACATAGCTGCTACAGATAGATGGCTCACACGCAATCTTTCCCAGGCTTAGACCTCTGGCGTTGTACACAGTGCCCATAGGCACTTTGGGGCCACGTCTGAACCAGTTGTTTGCTATGGGTCACTACCTATCAGTGGCACTTTGAAGACTTTGCCTGCACTGCAACACAGGGCTCATCTGTGTCATTTGCACCAATCAACTCTGAGAAAATCCATAAAACAATATTTTGAAAGACTTAGAATTTTGAAAAAAATCCTCCCATTTCTCACTGATAAATTATGTTTCTTGTTCAAAACACAGCTACTCCAAACAATTATGTGCATATGCCATCTTATCAATAGCACACAAGTAGTTTTCCTTTGTCAACAATTTTAAAAAAAACGAAGACTGATATTTCTGTAATTTTGATTATATTTGACTGCATATCACTTGATTACACATCAAACAACTGGAAAAATTCAGCCTTACAAGTCCGACTAAAGCAAACAACCAACAAGAATAAGAAGCAATAGAAATGGCAGAACAGGAACTTTAAATCTAATGATTTCAGAAATTTTCCAAGAGGAAAAAAGTGGATATTAAGGGGGAAAAACAGAAAATTGAGTGTCCAAAAAAGACCATACACCTTATACTAACCATGTGAATTTAACCCTTAACAGAGAAGAGGTGGAGATATAAATGACCTGCAAGCAAGCTGAACCAACAACAGGAAACAGGCAAAACAAAGCTGGTCTAAAGGAATTGGTTATTTTAGTTTGTCCCTTAGTCTGTTTTCTACTCCAATTACATTACCTCTTAACCATCACTTCTTTTTTTAATCCGTACACTTTGGGATGCAATTGTGAGTTTGCCTCAATTGCTCACTATCTCTCTTTTTGACTTGCTCTGTCAGTCTATCATGCCTCTTTTCTATCTATGACTGAAACTTCTGCCATGTTACACGAAAACCTCATTGGCTCATATCAATATTCCACAGCAAGTTTTTCAAATTGACCTAGTTTTTCAAATTGACATCAGGGATCACAATTCTACCAGATTCCTGCCAGGGCTTTCAACACTCCTTTGCTATTTCCAATAGCTAGTATGGTTTCAATGTATAAACTCCCCTAAATCAATGCCAAAAGCAGTCTTACGCCCAGTCTATTTGGAGAAGTAATTTTGATGCTGTGCAAGTCCCCATAGGTTCAAAATAATCAATAAGTACTATTAAAGACCAAGACAGTGTGAAAAGGGTAACATATTTATCCACATCAACTTACCCAATGCAATTTTACTGAATAAAACTAGTTGGAAAGTACTTGAATATCACAAGCCAGATGCTATCCAGTTTGACTCTCAGTTCTCACACCCACTTCAGTCTGCAGGCATTTTTACACACTAACTCAGAGCCTCTGCCAAATGTGTGCGACTCACACAGCACCTTTCCTCACAAGGTCTCATAAACCAGAAACTGATTCTGCTTTACATTTCTCACATAGCTGAAGTCATCATAGCTCTTATAAATAGATGCTTCATTCATTTTCCCCACTTTCCAGGCAAAATCTATACACATAATAAAAGTGAAAATACGTATGTATGTGTGTGGCTGGGGTGTCCACTTACATAGACTAGGTCTTGCCTCCACAAACAGCTATAGCTCTCACTACTCAGGAGACACCAAAGGCCCTCCCTCCAATGACATTGCAGGTTATAGTGAGTGTCATCAACATGTACAACCCCTGCCAGTGTTCTCCACAAACACCACATTGCCCACTACCCAAGTGAAGGCTTTCATACGGGGACAATTTCATCCTAGAATTTATGTGTTTCCTCCACCATGGACATTCCAGTGTTTCTTACTCTCTCCACTGGTGTGGAATGTGCATGACCCTATCCACTGCCTC